TTTTTCTTTCTTCTCTAGTCTTCTTTCCCTAAACCCAAATATACCGTGTCCATATCTTTTTCTTCATGTTGGGAAAAATGCTCTAGGCACACCATTAGTATGGTCCCATAAGTTAAGAAAATTTTCTTTGTGAAAGTGTTGGAACCTGCCTTGCTATCATGATGTTATTTTTCATTGAGCAATACTACTTCAGACTACACAGAGCTGCAGTCTGCTTTCAACTCTACATCTTTGTTTTCTTCTTCTGAGTTGTTGCTGAGCCTCTGACTGAATGTTTCAATGGAAATAGTTAAGATAAGATGGTTTTAACAATATATACCTTCTTTTTAAAGTTATTTTTGTTTTCTAATATCACTTAGGGGAGTATTTCCTGTCTAAGATTTGGGAAAAGCTAGTGTAAAAGTAGTCAGCATACGGCAGATGCTACAGTTCAGAGGCAAATCTCTAAGCAGTATTTCATCACTTCAGGAGTTTAGGAGCTTTAAATTATCTTGTGGAAGAGTCTGTGTCTCTGCTGGCTGTATTGAGAAGCACTTCTCTCCTTTTTGCCCCTACAATCCATATTGTAGTAATTGACTGACCCCTTCCTGTAAGTGCTAAGATTTTCTGTAACTGCTGTGTGTGGTATGACAAATACCAGCTCCAGGACATCCTGACACACCTTCCCTCACTATCTCTCCAGGTGGTTGTGCCAACATGCTTTCTTATGTAAAATGCAGCATTTCAGAGCAACAGGTTTGAGCATTCTAATCTTGTTGCAATGCTCTTATTTGATCAACAGTGACCACTTTGGCATAATCCTACCTGTTTCTTCAATATGTGAAATCATCATGTAAATAACTGTACATATATCCTGAGTAATTCTAGAGTTTTGTCTATTTTATTTCTCTACTATGCACTTCTGGACAGTTATCACAAACCTGGCCAGATATCATGTGTGATGTACCATATATCATGTATCACAATGTTATATGGTATATGTTACATGATATAAATGTCAGTTTGTTTATCTGCAGAATAGCATCAGAACCATTCCAATTTCCAGAGGTTGGCTGGTATTTTTCCTGCAAAAATTTTGCTTTTATAAGAATGTAGCAATGTTTTATAACAAGGCCAAATCAAAGACTTTGAGCCATTCTTGAAGGAAAAGTTAAAAGGTCAAACCTAGTAACAGTCAAGTTAAACAATAAAGCAGAAGCTGCTCCTCACATCCTTTACCTTGTACATGCAGTTCCTGCTATATTAACTGGGGGGTGAAGTCTGTGTGTCCAAGTTCATTTACCAGGAGAAAGTTGCATGTTCCCTGAAAAAGGTTCAAAAGTTATGAAACAAATATAAACAGATACACTGTTTCTGAATCTGTGGTACTTATTATCTAGGGTGTAAGCATATTCCAATAGAATGAATCTTTATCATTTGACAAGTGGCATGAAAAACCCTGACAAAAGGAAATAACAAGAACAAATCTTACGAGGAGCAGAGCAGCTGAGGGAGCTGGGTTGTTTATTCTGGAGAAATGGAGGCAGGGGAGACCTTGTCACTCTCTACAACCACCTGAAAGGAAGTTGTAGCCTGGTGAAGGTTGGTCTCTTCTCTCCGGCAGCAAGTGACAGGATGAGAGGAAATGGACTCAAGCTGAGCCAGAAAAGGTTTAGGTTGGATATGATGTTTAATGGTAACATGTTCAGGTTAATGGCTGGACTTAATTATCCTAGAGGTCTTTTCCAAACTTAAAGATTCCATAATTCTAATAAATTATAGGGGTGGTTCTTATCATATGAAGGGGTTAAACCAGCAAAGAAGTACTGTGGAATTGTGGAAGAAAGCAATTTTGAAACAACAAAGTAGTTACAAGTTACATGCTTGTAACTACTCTTGATGCTCTTGTGTATTACTGGTGTAGATATGTTATGTTTGAAAATTTATTATTATACCATATTTTATGGTAAAAAGTGGTACTGTTTCCCTTTTCCTATTATAAAAAGTCGATTTTGCCATGCATCTTACTGAATATTTTCATTAGAAGAAAACTGATAAGAAAGTCAGTTGGCTTTGATACAGTCCTATTTGGTTTGTGTGTAATTTTCAACAAATAATGTACAAAGACCTGTATGGTGAATTGCATGAGAAAGAGTTGATGCCCAAAACTCACTTTTTGCCATCAGTAGGTCCAAAAGCATTTCCTTGGTGAAATGTCAAGCTGGGTTTTTTTAAGCTCCATTCCTTATCCACAAACCCAGGGCTGCACTCAAATGGCACTGTTTGCCTTTAGCCCACAGTAACATGGGCTGAGCCCAATCTCCACTCTTCATCCCATATACCAGACTCTTCAGCTGGAGGATTCTGCCACCTTGGCTATAGCTGTCCTAGCAACCAAGCTGTTATATCACCAATTTTCAGTTATTTTCCTGCCCACATATCAGTATTTAATTTATGTCTACAAATCTGTGGACTAAACTTTAAAATAAGCATTAAAAGTACCTAAATGTATTCTTTGATTTTGTATTATATTAAAATGAAGCCCACAGGAAACTACCCTTAAACAAGTAAGATATAATTGGAAAACACAAATAAATCCACAAAGCCTTCCACATCTAACATGGTGGTTCAAACACAGACCAGGTAGCTTGTATGGAAAACGTCTGAGTTTTTGGGTAACTCCACTGACTGTAACAGAAATGTTTACATATTGAAAGTGAAATGTGCTTTCAGGTTTTAATGGATGAGGCTGAAAGCTGACTCTGTTACTTGTGGATATAAAAAGTAATTACGCTGGTATGATTCTAGTCCTCAGTGACTGGCATTCTTCATGGGAAATAAATTTAGAACTTTATTTGCAGTTTCAGAACATAGGTCAAAACCTGTGTAGGCATGGCAATTTAATTTTCCTGCCCCTACATCCTAGTCAAGTCAGAGCAGTAATCTGCAGAATTATTTCTGGTTATACCTTTACAGAGGATTTAATTTCCAGACTGTTGAGGCAGCAGTCTCCATGAGCCTGAAATGCAAATGAAAACTATCAGAGAATTTTTAGAAAGCTGTGTTTACTGAAGCTTTACATGACAATTGCATCAGATGTAACTTTTATCTAAACCTAAGTTCTGTTTACAGCTGCTTTTGCCCATCAACTATTTTATCAGTCCAAGACAGGCCAAAATCTGTGTCAGGATGTTGAGCAACTGATTGCTGCCTGGACAGCAAGGCTTTAGCTTTGCAGATACTGATGAATATGAAGCAGAGTTAAAGTGCATTGTCACCTGCATCTGAAAGTTCTCCTGACATCAGCTGTAGGACTTGAACTTGGCTGCGATGAATCACAAGATGTACCAGAGTAAAAGCATCTCTGGGGACTGAAAGGATAAATGTATTTTCTTCCAACTTACTCATTGGTGGTAGTGCCAAAAGATGATAATACACGCAATGAATCACATCAGCTATAACTACAAAGGAAACATATTCCATGGTTGGTTAATTCTTAATTGATTCTGATGCTCTGGCCTAAAACAGAGAATAAAAATATGCCACTGATCAAGAGTCTTGTGAAGTCCACACTTTATGCACATTTATGGATGACATCCAAACAGCAGCAGAACTGTGAGAGAAAGGTGGGCAGAAAGGGGCCAAAATGGGAGTGGCAAGCAGAATGGTCAAATCCAGGGGTGACTTATTTTCCACTCATCAGCTTCTGCCTCCTCTAACCTAAGAGTTGATATAAAAAAAAATCTTGATGCCCTGGGTTTTGGGGATAAGAAATGGGGGAAGAAAATCTAACCATTCACTAGCAAGAAAGTGGCAGGATTGGAGAAACTTTGGAACCAGTAGAGCTGTACCCACTGCTCCCTTTCCCTTGGGGTAAAATGCATTTCTGTTTTTGGTAACCCCATGTTATTTTCAACCCATATTTTATCTTTCACAAAACAAATTAAGCTTTCTCTCTTCTCTGCAGGCAAGAAAAGGATATGCTGAGAGCTTCTGTAGCTCTGGAGCAGAGTCCTCTTGCTGTGGCCTTTGTGGGGCTTGTTTGACAGTTGTCCATATTTATTTCTATGCCTCCATGAGGCTAGTCCCTGCTTGTGAAGAATTGCTGGAATACCTTGATCAATATAGAATACCTGGGCATTTACTATTTATGGTGTATCTGAAATACTAGCACCTCTAGTCATTTGCACATTGGTATAAACACTGAGAAGTTTCTCTTTTTGCTCTGGACATGATAGCTGGTTAGAGTATGAAAGATGGTTAGAGATACTACTAGAGATACTTGTTCTTTATCTTCACACTGGTAAACTGGGAAAATCATCTCAGTGTCATTTCTTTTTGCTCCAAGAGGAAACACATCTCTGGTAATAGGTAAGGCAAAAGATAGAAAAAAGAATTTCTGACACAAGGCTGAAAACTGTGTGTCACTGAAAATATTCCCTTGTGCAAATCTGAGGATGCAGCAAAGTCGTGAACTACAGACACACAGAGCTTGAGATAAACAAAATCCAGTGCTTCGGTTTCCGTAAGTGGAGCCTTTGTCTTTGAGCTACTCTACGCGCTGGGCCAGGAAACAAACATAACGGGGGGGAGGCGATCTCAGACAGAGCTCGCTTTATGCTTCCGATCTGATCTCCCCTGAACGGAAGGGCAGAGCGATGTAACGCTCGGTAAGACACCAAGCACACCGTGCGGGCTGCGCGCTCGGTGCCGCGGGGCGGAGGCTGCGGCCGGGGGCGGCGGGGCCGGGGGCGGCGGGGCAGGGCCGGGCCGTGCCGTGCCGGGCCGTGCCGGGCCGGGGCGGGCGCGGAGCATCCCCGCGGCCGGGGCGGCATGGCAGCTGCCGGGGAGGTGGAGCCAGCCGCTGACCTGCCGGCATCGCAGCATCATCTGCCGGCAATAAACCCTCCCTTCGTCCTTCCCACCTGCGCCGGAAAACGCCAGGAAAACATCAAATGAAATTATATGATTAAAAAAAATAACAATTGTTTTCAGCAGCGGGCAGAGTGCGGCGGGGAGAGGCCAGGTGCGCAGGGCCGGCTCCGCGGCGGGGGCCGTGCGTGAGGAGCCCGGCCGGGCGCTGCCGCCATGGAGCACATCCGGATGCCCAAGGTGGGTCCCGCCGGCCGCGGCTGCATCCCCGCTCCGGCTCCGGCTCCGGCCCGGGGGAGCCTGGCCCTGCAGCCTTGCGGGCCTGTACGGGCCTGCCGCTGATGCTGCGGACTGCTTGGGCCAGTTTGCCGTGATTCCTGCCCTGCGGGATGGGCTGGTCGGGATTCTCGCTCCGTCCCTCTGTTACCGCAGGCACTGCCCGTCAGCTGCAGGCATCCCCAGTGGCAGCTGGGGTACTGCTTCTCGGACGCCCGTCGTGCGCCCCGAGACGTCAGGCTCGGCGATGAATTGATTTAGTGTTTCTATGCGTATGTTTGATCTTTAGCCGACGTAATCCGTTTTTTTCTACAGCTTTCTAAGCACTAGGCCTGTATTTGTTTCACAAAATTGCCTCGTTACTCTAAAAAATAAAATAAAAATACAGTTTTAACACAGAAAAGGTTTAGATTAAACGTAATCACAAAAAAAGTGAACCTGAGCAATATGTTAATTTGAAATGGGGTGGGATATATTATAAAAAATTTTGGGATTTATTATAATAAATAAATATTTTCTTATTTATTTATTTATTTAATAATCAAACCCCCTGAAATTAAGAATTTATTTGTATTTATTATCAATATTTAATATGATGGCATGAATTTGAGATCAGGGCCTTGTTATTTGCCTATTTTTTTTGGCCTTTAGGTGTTAAGCTGTAAATCTAGTAAGAAGATAGGCATTTATAACAACTGCCTTTCTTCTAATCTCATTTCATTACCTGTTATCTCCTTTTTTGGGAAGGAAGAATTTCAGAACAGTATGGCTGTGTCCTCCTGCAGGTAGGTACAATTAGTGGAAGTTGTCTGTACAGATGCTCCTGACCATTTGCTGAAGAATGCTGAAAGCATGAATGAGAAAAATGTTAAAAACAACTAATAAGGGTGGAAAAATATATTAAAAAAATAATGGTTGTGTTTGCTGCCAATGGGAGACCCAGGAAAGTCCCTGTTGCAGGCAATGAAGCTTATCTGTTTTCTTTTCTACAACCAGGTCCTGGTCCAGAAAATATTACTCTGCATATGTAAAACCCATTTCTGTAACTGATACTGTGAGAAGGCACTGTACCAATGCCTCAGGTCACTGAAAATCTTGACTCAGTGTGAGGTGATTCTGCAGTCCTGCATCCTGGCAGTCTCTTACATTATAGCTATGCTGAAAGGTATCTGATATAATAGAGCAGTTTAGAAAGAATGATTTAAAGGTACAAGGGGTACAAAAATCCTTTAAAATTTCCAATATAAATGTAGAAAATCAACATGTTTTGATTGACTAAAATACTTAATCTCTCCAGTTACTCCTAAATACACTGAAAAAACAGTGTATCTAAAGCTCCCTGACAGAATTGATACCATTGATTTTTTTTTAATTCCTCATCTTAAAATAAGTCACCAGTACTTGTTGGGGTTTTTTGTTTTGTTTTATTTTTACTGAATTTGGTTTTGATAATTTGTAACTGAACATTAAATGTTTTCCAATGCCTGTAATGTAAAAATAGGTAAGGGAAATCTCATAGTACCATATGTTAGCCTCTGGTGTCACATTTCCTGACTCCATACAAACTTGTCCTGAGAGAAATTTGAGAAGTGACTGCCCTGTTCTGCAAAGGTATTAATCTCAGAATAATGACACTTTCCTGGTTCACAAACCCAGCCACATGGAAAAGCAAGGTAAATCCCATACTTAGCAAGATAATAAACTTACTAATATCTCAAAACAAAATTCTTAGCCCAAGTAAAAGCTTTTCCTTCAAAGGGAGGTCTCTACTACATAACACCCATTAGGTCTCAGCAATTGTTTTAAGTGAAATACGACTGTAGTGATTTATGGGTCATAAATATTAAAATTAATCTGATAAAACATAACAGACATTGAAAAAGCAGAAGGTAATTACATACCAGGTGGGTCAGTAGTTCATTAACATAACTACTCTGTGTCAGAGTGACAGAGAGGAGAGAGCATTTAGACCTGGCCACGTTCTGCAGCTTCTCAGCATTTACAGATGTATTAGGTTCCAGCTCTTCCTATTAGTGTCCATTTATGGACCTGTCTGTGTGAGTAGCCAGAGCTCCTTATAGACAGGATGACACTCTCTGGCTCCACAGCCTGCATGGGAGCAAGCTCCAGAAGATCATGGCTTCACAAAAATTCTGACTATTGAAAAGTCTTGAGTAGCTTCCTTCAGTATTGCTTCCTTCTAGCTTCAAGGATTTGTTCAATAAATATTCCATGTTCACCCTACCCATGCCTTCACAGTGAATCTTGATCACAGCCCTCCAGATTCTGATAATTTCAGAGAAATGTCATCAATGACCCCAGGATCTCTTTCCTATGTCCAATCCATTGTTCTGTAGATATGTTTTAGGTTGTTTTTCTTGGAGGTATTCTACCATGTCTGTCTGTGTTGAAGCTCCTGTGTGTCTCCTTTGCCCACACAAAGTTTTGCAAGACTCCTCTGGAGTAGGATTTCCCACTGCAAAAGCCATTCTGGTGCTTTCCCAACAGACTGTCCATATCCACCTGCTAACACACTATTTGGTGTGCTGACCACTATTGTTCTATCATTACACTCTTGGGAGAAAACAGGGTACATAGGCACTGTATTTTCACAAGGTGAATGCCATCCTATTTATGAAGGCCATAATTTAAGTTTAAAAGTTGGAAACCATCCTTCATTGCTGAATAGAATTATATATAACTCCCATACCCTTTAAAAATTAAAAATTAGTAAAACCAGTGACTGACATGAGTTTGGATTGGGCAGCAAGATGGTTTAGGATAACTCTCCAAACCTGAAATATGACAAACAGCTCATAACATTCAGAAAAAAAAGAAATCAGCAATACTTCTGAGAAGATTAGAAGCACATTTTAGGAGCATGTGTAGAGATTTGTCTGGCTAGGGACAGGATGAAAGATCCAGAGCTCTCTAGATATGTTCATATTATTTGTGTTTGTACATTGTCAGCAGGCCTATTGATGGCCCTCTAATAAAGAACACATCAGTTTTTCCCTGGTGTACTAGCTGTCTTCAGTGGGCTTAGCCCAGTAATTCTTTTGGCTCAGTGTTAACAGAATACTTGGGATGACTTGAGTTGCTCGAGTGCTTTCATTTTTGTGATGTTACAGTGAGGTACTTCCTTTCAATGATGCCTCTCTCAGGCAGAATTTAAGATCTGCTCCCACGTTAGTGACAAATCGCTCTACCAGATGTATTGCTTCACAGAAAAAATTTCCAGCATGTGTAAGTGAGCTGTGTGTTTGCTTTTGTTTTTAATCAATTTTACATAATTCTTACTTTCTAATAAGATTTTATAACGTGTCCTTTTTCACAAAGTCTCCATCAGGAAACCCATGTAATTTATATCCACTTTATATATGACAATGTAAATGGCAAAACATTTGTCAAGATGTCTATCCAGATCAATAGCAAAATTGAACCCAGCATGCCCAGTCTTTACTTTCCTACGACATGTTCTGGGTTGCTGGATCTCCACTTTTTTTTGAGGTAAGTTGGCATATTCTACCACTGCTCTCTGTGTGCCTTCTGTTGAGATAAAGTATGATATTATAATTATGTTCTCTGTATCCAAGCTACAATTCCTTTTGGCAAAGTTTGATTTATTTCAGTTATGCAGAAAGGTGGCAGCAGCCCTGAGGTGGGATCGGGAAACACCTGGGGATGTGAAATGGTTGTTTCCCCCTCTGGAATGGGGAATGGAGTGCCACAGACACTTCACTATAGTACTAGAGTTTGGCTAAACTTGTGTTTTGTTTGCTACTTAGGAAAGGTAGAGGAGGTGAGGCTGGCATGGCCTTTGCCTTTTAATGGTGTTTTGGGTCATCAGGTTACAGCAAACACGTTATGCCACATCTTTTAAGTGGCAAGTTGATTTTCTGCTTTTCGAGTGTTGTGTGAAGGTGGTTTCTGTACTTTCCTCTAAGTATACAACTTAGAGCGGTGTGTCTTACAGTTCAGCTGGTGTTTTCTGATTTCATAACTGTTTCTCATTTTACATCATGGTTAAAAATTGTTTAGCCTGTTCTGGGTCCAGTAATGTTTCATGGCTTCAAATATGTCATTCTACTTCACTGCTTTAGTCAAATGATGCATTAAAACATATACACTAATCCTGGACTCATTTAACTCTGATTTTGTGAGTTATGGATTTTTTTCTTATTAATAAATCTTCCTTATTTAGAATGAAATTTAGTTTTCTTTGGGCTCCATTTATTCCATCTTTGTGCTATGAAAGTTTGAGCCCAAAGGATAAATTTAATACAAGTGAGCTTTGTAGTATACTATGCCCAGAAAATGTTCTGTGGTTACATCAGACTGGAGATGGATATAATGAAAATAAGAACTGCAGAAAATGTCCAGATATTGTGGGATTTGACTTAAAATATCTGTTTGGAATTGTGCTATGAAATATTTGTTTTGAATTAGAGTCATCAAGCTACCTTCCTAGTGTGAGTTTCGATTTAAACAAAGTCTTATAACAGCCATTATTCTCAAAATATTTAGTCAAAAATGGTCAGAAGATCACACAGATTTTCATACATTCAATAATGTGACACTCAATAAAGAGGTAGCGGGATAAAGTCACAAAACAAGCTCTAAAAATCATGGGTAGTTGTGTGTTTTAATTTGTTGTCTTGGTATTTATGTCTAAACTGCTAACTCCAAACCTTATTGCACTTGAAAAATAGTACTGGAAGTCATCAAGACAGCATGTCTGCAGGGTCCTCTTTGATTTTTTTTTTTTTTTGCATAGTAGGAGACTGAAGTTGGAATGAAGGATTGGAGAAGTTAGGCTTTGGGGTGGTCAAGGCTGGAATCTCTAGGCCTGCTGTTGATGGGCCCAAGTGGGTGGTATTTGAGCCATTGCTGTCTGTAAACCTAAGGAATGTTCTATTTGCAATAGAAAATGCACATTGACATTTCCTGCTGTGCAGGTGTAT